AATAAAAATAATATCAAAATAATTAAATTAATTAATTTACAAAATTAAGGTTAATTTAAGAAAACCTATGTCTATTTAATGTTTTATTTTTATTTTTCTGATTTGTTAAAAAAATGATTAAAGAAATAAATAATAAGACAAATGAAAATAAAGAAAAGCAAATTGGGTCTGGAGATAATTAGTAAACAGGGGGTGTGCTTGGAATTCGTTTGGCCCAAGGGGAGACAAGCCCAGGCGTTGCAAAATGAATTAAGGGGTGAGAAGATTAAAAAAAAGCTTAGGCCCAAGTTAAGGAGTCCAAAGGAATTATGGATCCAGTGAGAGGATCCTTTGGATGTCCATGATGGAGACGCATGCTTGCTGCACTTGGATCTGGCTGCGTTGTCATTGGAGGGTGTAGATTATATGACCCATGTTATATGTGTGTGGCATGGATGTATGGAATCTGCAATAGAATGTTAAGAAAAATAAAATTGTGAGGCCTGGGTATCGAACCCCGACCCTTTCTATTTCCCACATTCCTTCACCATCTGAGCTAGATTTAGAATTCAAAGGAATCCACCTCACATGTCTTAGTGATGGTATCCTGTTACTTCAGACTTTACATGTAACATATTAACAATCATGCAGCATAAATATGCAATTGAAGTTAAGTTACATGGGAAATGAAATAAAGATCGAAGGTTCGTTACCAACGGACACTTCGATTCTGGTAACCTTGTTGGAATTTTGGAAGTTTGGTGGAGCTCTTGTGGGGAAGCTTATGCGTGTGTATGTATATGGTCTCCTGTCTCTTTTTTTTCCCCGTCTTTTTCTGAGCTTGCTAGTGTGCTCCTTATATAGAGGGGAAGGAGGGGACAAGGTAGCAAGGTAGTAAACAACCATAAACATGTTCTTTAAGGCCATGAATGAGAATTTGAATTTTGGCAAAAGTCATGGAATTCTTGTCTCTTTTTGACTTGAATGAATGTGGACACCTTTTGAATTTCGAATACCTTCAGTCCATGCCCTTCGATTGGACCTCTTGTGTATCCTTCGAATGGATCTTTTGAATGAAGCTTTTGTGTACCCTTCGAATGGGCCTTTTGAATGTCTCATTCGAATGGATTTTTTGAGTGTCTTTTGAATAGTCCATATATATGCCTTGTGTCCTCTTCGGGCCACCAAGGTGTGTCCTTCGAATGGCTCAAGTCTCATCACTGGGGCCTCTTTAATTGAGCCCCTACTCATCTGCCCCAACGAAAACTCTTTCCTGGCTAATCGAAGCTTCCTTCAGTATGAATGCTTGTGCAGGAAACTTGAGTATGGCAATATAAGGGATTTTGAGCCGGCCAGTATCTTCGAATGGATCATTTATGTGTCCTTCAAATGGCTTTAGATTGAACCCATATATTTGCCTTAGCTGTTTAATTCTGATACCCTCAAGTGAGAACTTTATTATGTCAATCAAAGCCTCCTTCGTCACTTCATTCGAATTCCATTTGCACAGGAAGCCTGGGCCTGGCCACATGTAGGACCAAGACTTATCATAAGATAAACTTGCATTATCTGTCTCTTTCGAATGGCCAACAATATATGTATCCTTCGTTTTGAACCAATGTGTGTGCTCTTTTGAAGGGACCACATGCATCACTTGCCATTCCTTCGAGTGGGCCAACAAAGTAAATCCTATGCGTGTTGAAACAAAATTTCCAAGGGAGATACTGCCCAGTCGAAGTAGGAATCAAGCTTGCTCCAAATAAAACAAATGCCCAATCAAAGGGGGAACCAACTTGCATGCAGGTAGTCATCAAGACAAAACTGCAGAGGCCCTTGCTCAATCGAATCAGGCATGCAGGTAACAATTGCTATGTCAATCAAGCAAGCATTTAAAGCCAATGGTGCAATCGAAGGATGCATGCAGGAGACCATTTCCTTGTGCCTGATGGCATGAAGGAAGTTCCTGCCTTGTCAATTGAAGGCAAGTTAGAGAAGGCACTTTTTTTCTGAATTGAAGGAAAGCTGCAGGAGGCCATTGCCAACGCCTTCTGAATCGAAAGAAACCAGTAAGAAGCTAATGCTCTTTGAATCGAAAAAATCCAGTAGGAGGCTACTAACTTCTAAATCGAAGGACAACAACATGAGGCTCTTCCCTTTTGAATCAAATGAGGCTGTTTCAAAGGAAACAAATGTCCAGTCGAAGCTTGTATACAACAAACAAGCAAAAGGCCAAGGCTTCAATCGAAGCTTGGAAATTTGAAGCAATCTTGAAGGAGGTTAGGTGCTCAATCAAAGCAAATTTTGTGCAACCTTGACTTAGTGGAAATTTTTGTAAGAAAAATCTTTGAGAGATGGGAGGGAAAATTTTGGGGTACAACACCACCAAACATCAATTATAAGACTTTGTATCAACTCATTTCTCTCTCAAGGGAGGGGAGCACAGTAAGAATATTTTCATGGCATAGAATTAGTTGATGTTCCTTTTGAAAGCTTAGGGACCATTCACTTAGTGAAGTTTTGGAAGAAACCCTTTTCATTGCTAGTCCAAAAGTACCTTGTACCTAAAACATACAAGGACTAGTTGCTAAGCCCACATGAAATTCAAACTACGAGACACAAATCATCATGGGTTGTTTTTGAGAATTTCTTAACGCACCTTAAGTGTTTCTTAGCCATCCGTGTGAATTCCCAAAAATGTCTTCAGAAACCGAAAATGTATTTCTGATGCACACTCTATACACATTTGTTTTTGAGATTCACCATATATTAAAATCGAAAATTCATTTTCGGTTATAATACCCCAAATTTGTCCTATCCTTTTACTTTATATGGATTATGTGTTTTTCACTTCTCATTTTATCTGCACACCTTCCACTAGGTCATCTAACACATTTTACATCATTCATCAATAAAGTTGGCGCACTAGAATATGAAATTGGGGGTTTCTATATGGATTTAAGGACATCACTTGGTTTCTCCATCACTATTGGTTGGAAGCTAAGGTTTTTTTTATTCATGGTGAGTTTCTTCTTTCATTAAGATACACGATCATCTGAAAATAAAGTGCTAAAGTTCATTTATGTATGCTTAAGACTTCATCAAGGATTGTCAACTGAGATCATTTGAACTAGGGTTTTGGCATTCTTCAGCATCTTAAGCCATCTTCTCCATCTTTGAGCTTCAAAACAAATTCTCAGAGTTTCATCAATGATTATAACTGAGAAGACTGTCAGCTATGGATTTGATGTTAATTCGTTTCTTCATTCAGTATATGCCTCATGAAGATTAGGGTTTATATCCTATCATAATTGGGTTTGTCAACATTGTCACTGGGTGTTTATTGGATAGAAAGGCATGATATTAGAGAGGTGTTGTGAATTTATTATTATCAAGTTCATTCTCATTCTCATTTGTTTGATCACTTGCATTACAAGTTAACTTAGATTTGAGAATTGAAATTACGGTTTCTTCAAGACATGGCACCTTGCTAGATCATTGGTTGCCAAGTCAAAAGTTTATGGATTGAATCGCAAAACACTAAATCTTGATTTGAAGAATAAGATTATGGATTCAAGACATCAACACTATTCTTTCAATTGATTGTTGCTTATAATGCAAGTTAATAAGGATTTAAGATTTGAAAATCGTGGTTTCTCTGAGAAGTGAGAACAAATTGGAATTCATTCTTTGGAAATATTCATTCAAGCTTTTTAATATGTTAAAAGTTAATTAATTGGATCAATTTTCTTAAGATGCAAACCTATTAAGATTTTTCATATGGATTTCTTGAGAGATAAGGAACACATTATAAGGCAAAGGCATCAAAGTTACAAAGGAATTCATTAAATTCATGGCCATGCCTTTCGTTCATTCACATCAAGTCATATTCCATATAATCATTCAAGTTCCATTCATGTTATCTAACATCATTCGAGGTTTCAATCAAGGTTCATCAAATCTCGTTCAAATTCATTCAAAAGGCATACAAGTTATAATCCATTTTGCTTTACACTTTTGAGTAATTATATGTAGGGGTGTTCAAAATCAAACCGGCCCAATAGAAAACCGTAAAACCGAACCGAACCAAACCGAATCAAACCGAAACCGCAAAAAACCGCATTTGGTTCGGATGTGTTTGGGTCATTTTCTCGTGGAACCGCATGGTTCGGTTCGGTTTGCGGTTTGTATTTAACAAACCGAACCAAACCAAACAAAACCGCATTATGTTATAAAATCTTACTAACAAATATATATTTCTATAATTCTTTAGAGAAATCAACATGTATTATGTGTATATTTTATCATACTTTATATTATATTCATTTTAATTTACAAATCATAAAAAATAAAATATTATTCATTTATAAATACTATTTTCACAAAATATATTTTATCATATTCTTTGTATAATATTTATTTAAGAATGCAATCTTGTTGATATCATTATTTAGATTTAGATAAAATTATAATACTCAATTTTATGTATCAAATTATAAATTTATTTTGACAATTATAATTTTTTTATGGTAATGTATGAACAATTAAATATAAAATTATATTTTCCTATATATTTGTATGTATGACATAATAATTATTTTTGTAAAAAACCGAAACAACCGAACCAATCCAAACCGCATTAGTTTGGTTTGGTTTGGTTCGGATTTATTTTTAAAAGCCAACCGAACCAAACCGAACCGCATGTTTTTTTCTCTTGCGGTTCGGATGATTTTTTGCTTCAAAACCGCCCAAACCGCACCGCGAACACCCCTAATTATATGAAGGAAATAAATTATTAGACATGTTCTACAATCAAAGTCCATGAACCTGATCCTAAGCCTAAGTTTCCATCTAAAAGAAACCGTGCCATAACTAGGTCTCAAAGTAGAAAAGTTGGTTCAATTTCTTCATGCCCCAAATGCATTCGCTTCCATCTTCAAACTCTTTTCTCAAATTCCAAGTTAACCATGCCTTTTCCTTCAAGCCACGACTCTTAGCTCACGGTTCGTAAACTCACAACCAAACTAAAAATGTGTTTCATACTTGTACATAACCTACATAAACCAAGTTCACCTTAAGAAAATCCAAGCCGAAGCAGTTATTCACATGAACCGGTTCAAAATAAGAAAGGAATTTAACCGACATCCCAAAATATTAAAATCAAACAAGTCAGAGTTTCCTTAATCCATACATGTCCAATATTAAAGATGTCCATAAATAAGAGCCAGTGTAAGACTTGCTTCAATCCAAATAATCAATCAAAATAAATTGATTCCCGCAACATTGCATAAGCAAAATCTTGTCTCAGCCACAACACAAACAGCCTTGCACATTTCAGAAAATCAGCGAAGCATAAAATCAGATATTAAACCTAATTCAAACTTCCTGTAATTTAAAACCATAACTAATTTTACAAACAGAAAAAGAAAATACTCAACTCACTAAGTTGATGGTAACTGATTGAGTTAGCAATCCTAACCAACTGAGTGGAACCTAACTAACGGTTAAATCCTCACCATTCAATTTCCTAACAAATAAAAATCCAAGAGCTGTGATTCACTTTGCGACAACAAGTTCAGATTGAATAATAGAAAAGGGGAGAATTCATAACAGAAAATTCAACAGAAAAAGAGAACACAAACTCACCAGATCAATCCCTTCATTCTTCATCTCCAATCTCATCTTCAACAATAAACCTTCATCCTCTATAACCGTTCTTCAACCTCTAAATTACTCTCTGAAAAAATCCGTCTGCACCTCATTATCTTCACAATCGATCTCCAATCTCCACCTTTCTAAAAAAAACCTCGGATATCCAATATTCTTCAATCACAACAGCATCAATCTTTCTCTGCAACACAAGGAGGCGGCGCATCTTCAACACCTCTGCGAATTGCATCATCATCATCATCATCATCACGATTCTCTAAATCACCTGCGGATCCCACACTCTTCTTTTCAACATCAAAATTTATTCTCTACTTCTACGCATCAATCTGCTACACATCTTCATCTTCGAGCATTTCACAACAACAATACAAAACAGAAGTCAATAAAAGGTTCATAAGTATAAGAGAAGAAGTGGAGTAAGAATCAGTCGAAGGTGAAGTTTGAGAATTTACCTCAGAACACTCGTTGGAGTTCGTCATCACCTCGTCGGAATCTCCGCCACAAGTAGATTTTCTTCACTTAGATATCTGCTATTGGAGTTTTTATATGTGAAATTGGTGGAGGATTATGGGTCGGAGATGAGGTTTAAAGAAAAAAAACTCGAAGGATCCTCGAGATCATAGATAAGGCTAAGAATAACGTACAAAGACGGAGAGGAAAGGGATGGTTATGGCACCGAGAAGGAGCGGATTTGCAAAACTGAGGCGAGTTATTGACGTTGAAGACAAATCAGAATCAAAGAGAGTGAGACGGAAAGGAGATCAGAACTAAGGTGAGGATAGTGAGAGTTGGGGATGTAATTCGAGACGAGGAGCAACGATGTTCTGTTTGATTTCGATCGGAGAAGAAGAAGTGAGGCGCACCGCAGATTGAGGAAGAAAAGAGGAAATTTTGCCAATCTTGAACCCTAGCTATCTCCTTGAAACGCATTGTATCCATCCCTTTCATATTATATTTTTTTTTTGTTTTTTTGTTAATTATAAAAGAATTATGCTAATAATAATGCTGAACTAATTGAAAAACATATGTGTTGAAAGAATGAATGAAAGAGATAATGTTGAAAGACATAGTTGAGTGAGATGATGGACCGAGCCAATGGTTGCCTTGGCCCAATGGAACTTTTGATAGCTTTTTGGTTCATTTTGACGGGCTTAGTGGCATTCTGATTTTTTCTTGCAGCATATCCTGGATCCAGCTTTGCACCTTCTGAAGTTTTATTTTCAATACTTGTTTCAATTGTACTTGCGATTAATTTTGGTGATTTAATTTTTGTGATATTGGTAAATAAAAAGAGATTTAGGTGAAGATTTCACGAATCTCTAAAGCTATCCAAGAGCATAATTGTCATCAAGTAAATTCGAGGAAGCTTTTGGTAGAGTTTTCTTATTGCTTGCATTGTTCTGAAGAGGCAACGGACCTTCTCCGTTCGGTATCATCATGACCTTATTTTATTCCTCATTTTCGCACTTTACCGCTTTTCTAGAGATCATGAGAAGTAGGTCTTTACCGCTTTCTGATGCCATGAGAAGTAAGATAGAGATATGTGACAGGGATATCTATTGTTGATCATGCCAGGAACCCCTCTGGTTTATTTAAAGACCCGTTTAGGGAAATTCCTCATTGTATGTATTTTAAGTGCTACTCGTGTGTGGTTTGTTTAAAACCATGCCTTTGTATAGGTATTTTGCAGGTGTGTTTATATTTGTACCCATATATGTACAAATGACAAGTCCTCAAAATGAGGTGAGCGGGGAGGGTTCACAATCAACCCCGCAATTTTGTTTGTGTCATCCTTAGCTCGTGATGCACCATGATGCTTCAGAGTTGTGCCTGCTCTTGTTATCGAGTCGTCAAGTGGGGAAGGGTTCTGCAATTGAACCCTCACGCTTTTTCAAGAGTTCGCATTGGTCGATGCTGATACTCCGTGATTGTTTATATCGTCTTCTATCATCTACCTTGTTGTACCCCAAAATTTTCCCTCTCATTTATCAAGACTTTTCTCACAAGATTTCTTTGACACAAGGCTAGATTAGGGTTTGGTCAGCTCAAAACATCTCATCTTGCACTGATGACCCAAAATTAGGGTTTAATATTGCATAAGGATTTTTGGACTATCAATGCTTCATGTGACTTTCAAACATCATTATGTATCCCTAAGATCACTCAGGATAAGTTTCAAGCTTTGAACCATATTTTTGATCAGTCAATTGGACAGTTGACCTAAAAATCAACTGTATTAGGGAAAAGTCAACCATGGCCAATTTACAGTCAAACTTCATAATTCTTGATCCACATCAACATTTTAAACTTATATTTATCATTTGGTCAAGTTTGGATCACAATTCCTCAAGAAATTTGATCAAATCACCAATAGGGCAAAATGGTAAAAAATTAGGGTTTTGACTGAGGAAGGGCAATTTCTGATTTTTAATCTAGAAAATGACCAATTGAGTTAAATCATGATTTCAAGGATTAAATTGCATCATCTTGACTTAATATTATGGTTCAAAACATTGCAATTTCATTGGATTGACAAATGAAATTTGCAGTCAACTGATCAAAAGTCAACTATACACTGAAAAGTCAAACTTTGACTTTTTGGTCAAAATCAAGTGCCAAGGGTCACAATTCATCAAAACATGTCAAAGTGTGAAACTTTCTCATCAAGAAATCCAAGTTTGAAGATTAGGGTTTAAATTTGAAAATTTTCTTAACTTAGAAAATTTTCTAAGTATAGAAAATTTCTTATTTTTTCTCAATTTTAGGCCATTTTTTCACCATGATGCATAATGATTCAAAGAAAGTTCCCAACATGAAAGTTGTATACCTCTATGAAATATATAACTTTTCTTCACACACTTTTCCCTAAATATGCTTAGATCTCAAGATATAAATTTATGAATACATGCTCATGAACTAAATAACTTAGTGAAATTTTGCCCTAAGGCAGGTTTTGGACCCAACTTCATGGCAATTTTTCACCTAGTTCCAAGAGGTATCTCAAAATTCATTTCAAAGAGGAGTTATAGAGCACATTGCAAGATTCCCAAAATGTCAAAGAACTCCTCAAGATCATTTTTGAGTAGGGAGAATCGAAGAGATGAAGTTGGCGTTTTCTCACTTTTTGTCCAAGCCATTTCATGAAGAACAAAGTTCCAATCAGTACCTATGCTGCCTAATCCATACTTTAAAGGTCCCAAACTTGTTCCTTACTCCTTAATTTAATGCTTACTCAGTTGATAAAGCTTTGATCCAAGCCCTAGAGCCATTACCCAAGTTGTAATTCCATAAATGACATAAAGTGACCATTGCCATTTTGAAAAAGCTCAACTTTTGCCACTTTCCAATTCTTGAGCATTGCACCTGTCTCCATTACATATAAAAATATTACAGGCCTAAAGAAAATTGTACAAGTATATACCAACCCTAAGAAAGCAAGTACAAGCATGGCAAGCCTTGTCCCTTCACTTTATTTCAAAAACAAGAAAGGTTGCAAAAAGGTGGAATCTGGCACATCTGTTGGAGGGTTGACATGAAACTAATTATATACTAATATACATACATAATACAACACAACACACAATTAGTAAAGGCCTGAAACACTCCTAAGCTCAAAAACACCAGAAAACTGTCAAAACTTGCAGTTTTTGCATAAGCATACCAATCTCTCATTTGGCTCGTGCGTTTCCAATCTTGATCATCAAAACACCTTACCTACTTGATATCTAACTAATCCAGACCTTCATCCCTGTACTGTAACCCCTTCTCCATCATCTGCCATTTTTGTTTTCAAAGCTTGCAGGTTGACTTGGCCAAGGAGTTTCAGACACTTTCAAAGCAAGGCAAGGGTTGGAATACATTCAGGGAAGTTCAAGGTAGCTCAAGCAAGCATCAGGCCTCCATCAAACTCATTCCAGTTCCATCCACGATTTCAACTGAAAGAGGTAAAATCTCAACTTCTATCTCCTTGTACAGGCAACCATTGGCCACGATTTGTGAATAAATAATATAGCCCTTATTACAACGAAACTGTACATATCTTTATCTTACATTTATTTGGCCTGAGTTGAGAGAATTTAGAACTTGAAGTTTCTGAAAAATTTAGGTTCAAATTTAGGGCTTTTAAAATTCTCTCTGATCTTTGATTGTTAGCTTACATAACTAATATGGTTAGAATCGTGAGATCAAATACTACAACTTTCATGTTATGAGTTTTCATTTTCATGGAAGAATGAGAGAGTTACAAGACATCTGGCCAAGCTTGAGGAAGAAGATGAAGTACATGGCAAGGACTTGTTTCATGTTATATTATTTTTGCTTCACTTAAATCAACGAATGTATAGCCACCCCAGTGGCAAAGTAGCGCGCTGGTGAGACCCATGTCCTGGGTTCGAACCTGGGCGTTACTTTTGTTTTTTCACATTTTTCCTTCTTTCCATTTTTTCTATTTTTGCAGGTTTGGGCTTAGTTCTTTGGGCTTGACATTTTTTTTACTAACACATTGCTGCCAGTTTTTCTACATCACCCCCTTTCTCAACTCTTTTATGTTTTTATTTTATTTGTTTTATTTTTATTTTAGTTTATCAAATATTTTCTTTAATGCATAAAAAACCCCAAAAAATATATAATTAATAATATTGCATTTTTTATTTTGTTTTAGTTTGTTTTTCACATAAAAATATATTTTATTTTAATATGTATCACATATTTTCTTAATAAACTTGTAAAATATAATTAAAATATATTTAGTTTAATTTATTTATTTCCTCTTCATCCCATACTTATACATATTTATTTTCGCATATATAAAAAAAACTTTATATTATTTACATAAAAACAAAACAAAAAAATATTTTCTTACATGTACATTATATTGCATCTTTAAATATTGTATTTTATTTATTCTAATTCATACAAATTCGATTTGGTTGTAATAATTTATTTAGGTTTATATTTTTGCAAATCCCCATTCAAATTTGTATTCCCCCTCCCATAAAATTGTTGTAATAGCTTAGTAATATTTACATTACGCAATTTACCACTTTATATGCCATGATTAATAATTAGGGTTTGTATGATAAGATCAAAACAAAGCAAAATAGAAAACTCTAAATACAAGGCAAAATCAAAGCATGAAAATGATACACTTGCACACAAGCATCCTTAGGATTTCTCCACTTGGTTGCCTTATATAAAAATATCCATGTTACGCATGCGGAGTATCTTGGCAAAACAAAACAAATATAAGATCATAGTCCCTCGATGACGCTATTCAAAAGTTGCCTTACAAAATGATCTTGGTCCCTCAAAGTGCTAAGATACTTTGCAAACATTGCTAATCATGGTCATACGATGACCCACGCCCGTCCCGTTTACATCCAAAGATAGATTTGCTTACCAAATCAATGGTAAGACAACAATGTCAAAGGAATAGAAAAAGCATAAGAAAGACATTTGAGTAGGTAGATTGATTCTAGTTACTTTCTCTATTTCCAAACAACTATCCTTGCTATTTTCAAAACACACACACTTCAAAAACATCTTACAAACATTGGAAACATTTTCAAAAAGACAAACATCTTTGTATACATTCTTACGAACGAGAATCATTACAAAGATTGCCTAAACGAATGACCTCTTTTACAAAATACTTTCAAAACCACACCAATCACATTTTCAAACAACAAAAGCAAGTGATCAAAACAAGTAACTAAGAGCCCATGGAAAACCATGGATGAAAAGGGTGCTAATACCTTCCCTTTTCATAATCTACCCCCCGAACTCAAGAAAACATCTCAAAGGTCTTTCCTGTGCTTTTTCACCTTTCCTTTTGGATAAAATAAAAGTTGGTGGCGACTCTTGCTTACCGCAATATTTGCGATAAAACGCAAAACCCTCAAGTCAGTTCTCCCACCGTATCACAGAACTGGCGACTCTGCTGGGGAAAT